ACCTATCTCACAGAGTTGTTGTGGAGACAAAGTAAAATTATACAGAAAGCATTTAACATATTCTAGGCATCCTAGGTACACTCACTGCATTAGGTTCCTTTCGCTGCCGTGGTGATTACATTTATAATGAGGGAAACAGTCCCTAAATACTCCTTACCTATATCCAAACAGAAATAGACTGAATCTCAATTAATTCACAAAATGAAAATATTACCAGATCAATAAATTCGTTTCCTATAAACAGACATTTTAAAAAATGAAGAAAAACAACAATCCTACCTCATTTTAGAACTGTGACCCTGCTATTGATATTTCTGAACATCATAAAATCAAAACATGAATATCCAAAAGATACCAAAATTTAGGTGGGAAAAGTATGGCATCCAGAGATCTATTAAGACTTATAGGAAGACTCCCAACAGAGCATAACCAATGATGTTCCAATAAAAAAAAAATTGACTTCCAGCGGGAAGACAGATTTTGACAAAGATAGAGGCAATAAGCATAATCTTTACACAGAAAATTGTTTTTTAGAAGGCAGACCTTAATTCTCACTACTAAGCAGCCTGAAAAGATGGGGGCCTGGGGTGGAGTGAGACACACACATATACACACATACACACACACACACACACACACACACACACACACACACACACACAGTACTTTTGTTGGAAATTACCTGCAATATATATCTCCTTTAGTTGCCTTTTTGGTTTTCGTTTTTCTTTTGGCACATAGTTATAACACCTCTGATAGGTGTAAGGAAATTAAATCAGAACTACTTTTATTTTTTTACTTTTCTAATAAGTAAGAACTAAATGTAAAGCACATTGGGTATATATACAAACTTAAGTATTATGATTCAAAACAGAGCAAGAATTTACATTAAGCCCATCTGGTGTTGCATTAAGGTGTGTCCTGTGGAAACCCAACCAAGGGTGACTGCCAAACTGACCAACTGAAGACAACTCAGAAAGCTGATAAGTCCCATAATATAGGCTATATTTCAAAAAGTCTATTAGAACACCCGCTTGACAAGATCTGATACCACTCCACCCTCATAATAACACTCTTCTATTTCTGTAATACTGTTTTTGTCACTAAAACATGGGTTAGTATTGGCCACGGCAGACACTCTGAGATGATGACATTGTAGAGACACCAGTTATCTTATTAACCCACGAGGTAAAATCACAATTGTATGTCCCAATCCTGATAACTTTATCTTTCTGCTAAGTACCCTAAGGGGTTCATTGATTTCTTCAAGCCTCAATTTCCACATATGAAAAATAGAAATCATAACACACTTCTGCTTCACTAGGTTCTAAAAATGGAAACTAGCTTAAAAAAAAAAAAAAAAAACGAATGTGAAGCACTCTGAAAAGAATAAACCAGATTCCCTGACCTGATTATTGGTCAGAGTCTTGTAAAACTAGACTTACTACTTCTTCCAATTCCATACATGCTGCCTGGCCATCAAACTGACAAAGAGTAACAGTTGACTCAATTAAGAGCTTTAAAAGGATAGAAACAAGTATTACGATGTATTTTCATACTCATTTAACTAACTAGCTGCAAAGTAAATCTACCTATTGGCATTATAAAAATAGATGATAAGAAAAAATAAGATTAAATACAAATTTTTAAACTTAAATTTTTTTTCAAAATAATCAGCTGCCAGTATAAAACAGTTTGAAACTGACACTGAAGGAACGATGCAAGAATTGGAAATGAGCTAACCCAGAAACAGGAGGAATCAGAAAATAAGTTTCATCTGATGGGCCGAAATACAATATGGATTATTTTTATATTGTTCTGTCTGAGTTGTCTCTCTCAGATTCTTAACTTCTAGATTCTATTTTTAAAATCACTTAACATTGTGTATTTCCAGTAGCCATCAAGGCTTATACTGTCATCCCTGACACCGAAGATTGTCAGCAGACTCAATATGTACACTAATGATCTCAGGCAACAATGCCCATCTTCTTTTCAAAGAGATTCTTATTCCTGAAGAAAAGTTTAGAGTTCTCCAAGGAAATTCATTCTAAACCATAGGAAGTAGTCAGTATACAATGTTAAGATCACTAATACCTCTTATTTATTTTTAAGGTTATCTTATATGTTAAATTTTAAAACCAAAAACTGCCAGGCACTATAACATTTTTAGTTCTCTCCCAAGTCGCCGGTGCTCTATTCTAGCACTGTCAAATAATGATAGCTGCTGTCATTATTTTTTATACAATAGCTGGCAGCAAGTTGTACAGATACTCTTCATCTTAGAATACTCACCAAACAACCTAAACAAATGTCAGGATCTTACAGTAGTACTGACCACTTCCCTAAAGCCAAAATAGGAGGGCTATCACATCTTATGGATACTTTTTATGGCCAGAAAGTTAGCTATTAAAAAAAAAATTCAAAGATTTTACTTCTTTTTTTTCTAAATTGTTTAAAAATAACTTTTTTCCCCCTTACACATATACTCCTCTCCTCTCCTTCCTGTTACTAGAAACTACCTTATTCTACCACAAAAGTTTTCACATTTACTTTTAGCTTTAACACATTTAATCAAAATTGCAATTCTGTTCTTGGAAGCAGCAGCCCTCCAAGAAGTATATTTGAAAATATGAAAAAAAAGATGCAGAAAATAAATAAGTTCTTTTCATTTAACGAAGTCAACAATGCATGCAAAGGGATTTAGGAAAACCAGTGATCTCAGACACAAATGACATGACAGGCCACACGCACCCAAAAAATTATTCCAAGACACAGAAAAACATCTGAGTGACCGATTCTAGGTCTCTTGTTCCAATTAATAGACAAGAGTCCCTCTCTAGTACTATTTGCTTTGGCAATCTAAAATGCTGATATTCTTCTAGATCTAACAGAGGAAAAATGGGTATCTTCTCCATCTAACACCTAAGTGGGTAACCTAGATACTGTAAATAGAGGCTACATAAAGGATGCAACAGACAGCTCTGAAGTGAGAGCCAAAATATTTAACCTGCAACTCTTTGGGAAAGAACCTGAAAACATGTGCAGCTTAGCCAAAAACTGTACTAATATGGAACTGCCACAGGCTAGTAAGTTAAAAAAAAAAACCTCTTTACCAAACATAAGTTTACTGTTGTTGGGTGAGAAAAGCTCGAATGTCAAAAGCCCAGTTCTTATTTGTTCAAATTGATCGTGCCTTCTCTCTGCACTATTTATTTTAAAAGATGAGTGAACTGCCTTTTTGAAGCAAGTACTTGCAAAACCAGAATAAAATTCACAAATAAAGCAGCCAATTAACCAATTAAGCAGCATTTCCTGCTGATATTCATGGGGTTGGCTAAGGGATGACAGTCAAGTCTCTGAAGAATAGTTACTCTCTACCTCATATAGTCAATGTTGTTTAAGCCAATGGCTAAATATTTAACTAACAGAAACTGGAATTATGTGAGTTATCTGAGAAATAAAAACATATTTTCCAAAGAACTAGTATCATTAAATATTGAAATATAAAAATTCAAATGCCTACATTGCAGGAGTAGTATAATTTTTATCAAATCAACTGGCAAAAAAGATAAATTAATGCAAAATATTCATTATAAGAGATTAGCACTATGATTTAGTATACATTAACTCACTAACTTTAAGTTTTTCCTTTCGACATGATTAAGAAATTTCAAGGACTGCTTCTAGGATAAAATGCTCTTAGTAAATTTCCCCATTGATAAAAAAAGAAAACTTTTAAATAAATAAAGTGAATTCAAATAACTCAATCATAATTTCAAATCAATAGCTAAAATCACTTAAAGTTAATGAATTGCATAATGCTATTCAATTATATTCTATATACTTTTGCTTATAATTTAGTAGTCTTATCTAGTGACAAAGCTTGTAATTAAGTTTTAAGTTTTGAAGCTGTATGATATAAATGGAGAGACAAAGTTGTTTTCTACGGACAATCAATCAGAATTACTCATAATTAAGATGATTCAGTTTTCTTAGTTATTAAATCTTTGAGGGAAGGGAGGAAGAAAATGCCTTTCTGCGACATACTATCCAAATAGAAAACTTGTAAATTAAATTATGTTTACATATAAATCAGATTTCCTTTCTATATAAGAATATAATATTTGTCAGAATGCTCTTTGTATATAATATGTATCAAATGTATAAGGGAAACAAGATTTCAAATTACTTTTGAGTAGGAGTAATAAAGCACTTTCTCTTGATAACGAAACTGAAAAACACTATAATTAAGAGAAAACCAACTGAATTATTAATAAATACAAATATTTTGCCTTCCGTCCCTTACAACATACATCATGCATGCTTTTTTAACACACAAAAAGAATGTCTGCTGCATCAATGAATGACCCTTTACCAAAAATAGTAGTCAAAATTGTTTATTCCTACAAGTTTAAAACATTCTTCTAAATTGTCTCAGTTCTTTTCTCCACAATCTAAAACAAAATGCTTTCAACTTCATTAGAGAAACAAATGTAAATGAGTTCCATAAACTTTTCAATTACACTTCACTTCCACTGTTTTGGAGGAGAAACTTTCACATATTAAAAAAAAAAAACAAGTAACACTGCAATTCTACCACTGATAGTTTAGCTTTGTACCAAGGCAATATTAAATTACTTTAAGGTGAAGAGTTCTTTGGAAGTGATATGTTTCCATATTTTTATCCAACAACAACAAAAAAATCCAGTCATAAACCTGGCAAGTCAAAACAATAACCAGCAAATTCTAACCTTTCTTACCTGAAACAGGTAAGCACCAGCTCCCAAATGCCACCTTGGGATAGTTCAGACTAGTAAGCAGACTCATATTTTATAACACTAGAATGAACAGGAATAAATCTGTGTTGTTCTTTCTTTAGCAAAATCTATAGCAGTTGCTACACCACAATGTGAGAGGACCCCACAGATCTAACAAATTCAAGTATGTCGCTACAGAAATAGGCAACAACAACAAAAAAAAATCATAAAATGAAGACTTACTGCTTGTCATGTGACTTGGTGAGGCATGCTGTCCATTGGGTGTGCTTGAGGTGAGGTCAATTGCCATATCGGAGTGCTCTCTTTCAGGTGAAAGCTCATTGTCACCTGCTTTCACAAAATAAAATCTTTTGGTCTCTATTCACTGTCACATACAATCTAGTTACAACTTTGTTTCATACGTGCAGTGGCATGCATAGCCTTAATATTATAAGGTCATACATTTTTCCATTAAAGGAAACTATAAAGAAATATCATTTAGGAATATATACTTAAATGAATGAAATGACAAAAAGCCACAATCAATTGATGATAAAAAAATTAACAAAACTTTATCTCAATACTCTAATGTGTACAATAAAAGGAAATGAAGCTGTTGATTTCTAAAGTATCTTTTCGTTGAAAAAAATAAGTTTTCTTTTAACATCCAACTTAACTATTAAGCATACAGTATTTATAATGAGCATTTTCCAAAATGCTGACTCTCAGTGTTGGCTATCAAAGAGGCTTGAAAGGAGTTGGCTAAAAAAAATAACAACTTAAGAAATCTAATTCTTTTTCATATTATGTGTCTGAAAAATTAGGCTACAGTGTAGTAGATGTTTAGTACACACCATATTAGTAGACATATATGAAACCTGACATATTCTAGACTTAAAGTAAACGAAAGAAATAAGCAGGAAAGTGTTGATCTGCTCACCTACTATTGATTTAAATATTATCCTTAACTTAGTAAGTAGTAAGTATATTTCTATATTTCCTTCTTACTTCATTTCTGTGCTATTATTTTCTCAAACTCACTTCAAGGTAGAATTGTCAAAAGACAGAAACCAAGAATATAGAATTCTTAATAAAATCTCAGAATTCAGGAATTAAAACACAGGTAATAGAAAGGTAACTTTATCAGCGATAGCAAATTAATGAAAATGATACTTACACGTTATATAGCCATCAATAGTCTCTGTTTCCATAGTCAAAGTGCAATGCTGCAAAACAAAAGATTACGCCCTTAATACAATGATTCCTTTGAGTATCTGCCATTAAATTCTTAACTTATTTGAAGCTCCAAGCAGTTAGTCCATGTTGCTGCTGCAACCTGTGCCCAAGACACATACTACAGTGTACTGTATGTGCTCATTTGCAAGTCACTGAACTCTTTCTGCAAATGATCTGATTCCTGCTGGAGATAGGATAGGAAAGATAAGTGTGCAGTGAGATAGGCTATGGCAAGAAAGGAATGGCTCTGTTAATCAAAATGTACTTGGTTTAAAGAAAAAAAAAAATAGAGGGTACACCTCAAATGTGCCACCTTTAACTGGGATTTAAGTATTTTACCATCCACTACTTCCCACAATCACACTGCAGTTTGAGGACTTCCCCAGTATACAGATAGCTCTATTCACAATTGTTGCAAGTTGGTTCATCATGTTCTAATAGGGAGGGGGAGGACAAACAAACATAAGAAAACAAAACAAAACAAAAAACTTAGTGCCCAACTGTGTCTCGAAGATTTCTGCAGCAGTTGGCCAACTCCCTGACTTGTATTGACATTTTAGCCAACCCCAAGTTCTGGGTAAGCACCTGTTCAATGTAACCTTAATTTCCTGCCAGACCATGCTTGGATACTAACGCCAAGCCTACTTAATACATTCTGATTTTGAAAATTTCATAAACCTTGGCTGCACAGGAGGGAATAACTTTTCCTTAAAGTTTGGGGAATTATTTGTATGAACCAATGACAAAAACAGAACTTAATTCTCAGGAAAAAAAGGTAAATTGTATGAGAGGACACCCCCTAGCTTTGATTCACATAATGAAAAGATCGATAATCTAACTGTATCCTGTGAGGGGGGGAAAAGTTTAAGAATTGACAAGTCCTGAGGAGATTTTACTTTTTTTTTTTTTCCCCCGTTGGCCTTGGTCCTTTTTGCCTTTAGTTTCAAAACTCTCACTGCACCAGGAGCTAAATTATTCACGAGCCATTTCTGTATTGATCGCCAAGTATATTTAGCCCTGGCTCCTGGAATTTCTCCATTACTTACTGGAAAACAGGCAGCTTCACTTCTTGTCTCCAAAACCACTTCCCTTCTCCCTCCCCTCCCCTTCTTCACCACCACCCTCCCTACCACCCCCCCCCAAAAAAACTTTTCTTTCTTTCTTTATGGAATAATCAGATCAAATTCCCAACTCAGTCACTACATAGCACTTAAATTTCAACCTGCTCTACTGTTATCAAATTCTTTCAAATTATGATTACATAAGGCTTTAAAGAAAAGGGATCGGTAAAGTTTAAAAGGGGAGCAGTTGCTTCGGATATTTTACAAATGAGTTTAATCTCTTCAAAAATGTACACATTTAACACACACATATTAAAAAGCAAGAAACGTCAGGAAGAAGCCAAAGACGTCTGCCCCATCAATGAAATGGTTATTAACCCTCCTAGAAGGAAAGAAAGAAAAGGAGAAAGAGAAACGAAATGTACATACAAAAGAAATTGTCCTTTGATTAAAAAAGATTCATCACCATTTCCAGCTCTGTCGGGAGATCTCAGCTTCTTCTAACCCCACCAAGAGGAGGTGACAATGTCGGGCTGAAGATAAACGAAGGGAGAAAGAAGTTTTTTGTGTGTGTTTCCCCTTCTCTCTTTCCCTCCCTGGCCCCCTTCAAGCCAAGCCCCCTGCAGAGTTCAAGGCGAGGAGGAAGGAAAAGCACTTTACAGGTGGGTCATTCCAAGCCCAAATCCAGCAAACAGATCGGCTGATAAACAAAACCAAGAAATGAGAGAGAAGGAACACCCCCCCCCTCGTCCTCCTCCTCCTCCTTCTGCCCCTCCCCCTCGTCCCTTGGGGATGGTCTAGTAGGAAAAGTCACTCAGGAATGGCACCACGTACTTTCAGGAAAGAGGAAAAGAGAGAGAGAGAGAGAGAGAGGTCAGTCGGTGCTACAGCAATGCGATTAACAAGAGAAAAAACTTGATCCACCGGTTCCTTAAGAATCGGCCAAAAGCTAAGACAAGAAAACTGAAAGAAAGGGGGGGGGGGGTTGGAGCCGGGTTGAGGGGAGGGACAGTCAGGCAGAACCCAGCGAGGAACCTAGGCCAACTTCGCAGGACTGTTTGTGGCCCTTGGCAAAAAAAAAAAAAAAAAAAAAAATGGACAAATCAATCAATCTTAATTCCATCTCTCTTGCCCAGACGAGAACCTGTCAAAGTGATTTCACTGCTGCCTCTTTACACGTGTCCCACCAGGGTTTGTGCGTGCGTGTGTGTGTGTGTGTGTGTGTGTTTTCCTTTCCCTTTTTCTGATCCCAACAGGCTCTGGAGACCACCTTCCTATCTGGACAGCTGCAACGTATTCCAGGCTGCCCAATCTCCCTCCCCGGAATCCAAGTGAAAACAAAGCCAAACAAGTCCCCCATCCGCGCGCGACAGCTCCCAGCGAGGAGAAGGGATTCGCCGAGGAACAGCCCAGATGACAGATTCCGAGGAGGGGGCG